CGCCCCACCCCGCCTCACCCCGTCCGCGCTACCCCGCCTCACACCACCTCGCCCCGCCAGGCCGTGCTGGCCGCGGGGAAGGCCGGCGGGAGAAACAGACCTAGCTCACTTTACTCATGCGGTTGTTTTTTTGTCTTTCGGGCTAAAAATAGCATCGGGTCAGCATCGCCCGACTGGCGCCCTGGCTTTGAGGCTCGTGAAATGTGGACCACTGGCGCTGGAAGCGAAGCAAAAACAAAAATGTGTCGGGAAAATATATTATAGAGGTGTGTTTCTGTTCGCGAAGTATCGGATCATGCAATGCAAATAAGATTCGAAATTGGATTACCAAAAACTGATACGGATCGAGGGCAGCGCGGTCCCCCCTCCCCTCCCGGTCCGATGCCATTTCCGATATTGCATTGCAGGGTGTAATGGATGCACGGCGCCACAGGCTAATCCATTCCTTTACGTGGGGCCGGAACGCAGGGGTCGAAGGGGCCCAAAGGGACATGCCACTATGACCAATACGCCTTAACTGATGATTGAAAAAAAAACACATGTAATTTCCAGGACCCGAAGATGACCGACTGGTTGTGGGAGGTGCGGGAGAGCTCGGAGCAGAAGAAGATCTTCCAAAACTGGCGAAAGGACAAACTCGGATTTGTCTTGAAGGCGGATCGCGATCACCGATTCCCAAAGAAACGGAAAAACGTAAGATCTGAGATAATATACATTGCAAAATGGCGTGAACATGAGAGACACGAAGTGGAAGTTTCAATTTCAACCTGGGACTGATTTCAAGTGTGATTGGTTCCAGGACCCAAACTCTAAGTACCAGGAGTACCAACTAATGACTTCTGTGTCCATGCCCGTGTACGACCTGCGAGAGAACGCGGTGAGTTATTCAATACCCATGCTTGTAAAGTCATCACAAACCTATACATTATTTTTACTAATACTTCTAGGTTAAATTGTACGTGGGTCATGTACTTCTAATAATGCAGGGTACATTGTTACTTGAATTACACTACCTTTCCTTTCAGCCCTGATCTGTTCCTTCGTTTGCGGTGGTATAATTTAATGACATTTTCTATGATAGGGGTCTTATATAAATATTGTCTAACTTTGGGTAATCCCCATGGCTTGTTTTTAGCGCTGTCTGACATTGTACTACCTCTATTTTCAGAACATCTCTGAGCGCGTTCTTATAAACGAAGCTTATTGGGTTACTGAGACCAGAGAGGTATTTTCTGTTCCCTCTTGTCCTCTGGACTAGACCTCACATCTTAGTCTGTTTGCGTAATTCGTTTCTGGTAGTATGCAGGTATGTTCATAGTATTAGGCAAATCCTTTGAAGTCCGCATCAAAGTTGGTGTTTCGCCCCTCACATCACAATGTAGATCGATTTGTAGGGTACAAAAGTTGTGAAGAGAGGGTGGTATATTGTTCTCAACCAAACCACATGTAAGAGGCTTGTCTAAAAAGCCCGTAGTAAAAAGAGTATTGAGAAATTTTAAAGCATACCTAAAGATATTTTATCTGTTTTACCACTTAGAGTAGACAGAACGAAATGTATATATTTCGAGTTACAGTATAAACTTTAGTCATGTGAATACATAAAACCTCACTAAATATTTTATGTAGAGTAGGGCAGACAAACTGCGTCCCGCCGTAGCTAAGTGACTCCTTTTTTGTGTATATATTTTCAACTTTAATCAGTTAGGTACGGTCCGATCCGATCGTTCCAAAAGGAATTCATAAACAAGCCGTGTCATTTACATCTAGAAAGAAATTTAAGGCGAAATATAACGGTTGGTAGATTAGGGTTGGGGCAAGGGAGGGAAGACACCGAACGGGTGACAAACCCGATCTCATAATCATAACAAGCCTTTTACAGTTAACCCGGGAGCCTTATGCACAGGAATACCACAAAAGGAGCCTCGTCCATCAAGGATCGACATCACATACTTTGGATTGCAGTTCTTTGGGAGATCTTTTGGCAGATCTTTTGGACGAACGGATGGCGTTGCCCGAACAATGTACACTTCTTTTTCAATTTACCGAGTCGTAGATACGGGTACTGTAGCGGGGGATGACGGTAGGCGGGATTAGTTCCTAATTTACTTACTGCGAATAGCATTATTTCTGTGTAAGTGAACAGTTTCTGTACATGGTGATAAGTAAATAGCTCGTCGAAAGTAATATTTCTTTCTACAGCAAGTGTTGATTTTTGTAGTGCTGTAATCATTCGCCAGCCGAGTTGGCCGTACGGTCATGTATGCGTACTTTTAGATCCAGCAGAGCAGTTCCTGTTTGCAGTGGTCAACGCCAGTCTCTTAGCAATAGCGTAGTTCATTCATTCATTGTTTTCATTCCACCCCCCCCTTATGTAATTTTGTTGTACCACGTGTGATTGTCTGTAGTCGTATGACATTTGTGGTGCACACGAGTGGAAGCACGGTCGGTCAGAGGCTCGCTGTGCAGCGCGCCTGTCAGCTGCAGGGTAGGCAACCCGTTGTCCACCAAAGCGTTGTGTGGCCTATCGCAACAGGCCTGGCCGTGCACTCGTGGGCATCCCACCTATTTGTTTGAGACGTTGGATAATGTATCGGGGTTACAGCCCACTGCCCATAGCCCCATATCTTCTCACTTAATGCTCCCTGCAACATTTTTATCATGTCGTATTTATAGAATTTTATTCTGTAGAAGATATCAGATGACAATTGTATTTGTGTGTAGCTATGAACAAAATGTGTAGGAATATAGATGTCCTAGTTGGTAGTCTCGTCGACTTTTTTCGTAAATGTGTGGACATCAGCATTACAAAATGTATTGTTAAATGTTTAACTGAAAGTATCTGTATTTATTGAAATGCAAAATGCGGCCTTGTTTTCTGACGCAGTTTTGTGTTGCAGACTCGCATTGCCAACCTCCTCGGTGTGGCTGGAACCGACGTCCCAATGCAAGAGATACAGCGCTTGATGAACCCCTACAAGGTGCGCAACGTTATTCTATTTCAATTGATACATTCATCAAATTTCTAATGTTTACATTTATTTGAGTTTTTTTTACTGATCTGCAGCTCGGAGTGAACGCGTACGCTTTTCTTGTGACGAACAATGGTTATATTCTGTGTCATCCTGATCTTCGTCCTACCGTAAGTGGCAATATAATTTTTTTAAAGGTAAATTCTGAAAGTGTGTCAAGATTTACTGATGTAGTTTTTTTCTCCATCGACAACTTTAGTTTGGCGACATCTTAAAGCCGAGTTACAACGCTATTGATTTCGCCGAGGTAGAGTTGGTGGACGACAACCGGGGCCCACGGGAGCTGGATCCGGTGCTAACACAGGTCAGAAGAAGCGTATATTTTATACACATTTTTGTGTGTTATTGCAACAACCTTACTAAGTTTTTGAGTGTTTTCTGTACAGCTGCGCGATGACCTCATCAACCAAAACAACGGGTCAAAGTACATCGACGTGAAATATCATTACGACGACATGGTGAGCTAAGTTATCAGCTGGTACATGAATTGGCCACAGTAAGTGAGGATGAGGAATTTAGTTGTAACTCGTTTTCTTGTGGATTTGTAGCGCCGTGTCGGTATGGTCAGGCGCCACTTTTACTACCGGCCGCTGCTCAACTTCTCCTTGGCGATTGCGATCCCGGAGCCGTACGGCACCCACCGGGTTAGAGCGGAGCTCGAGGTTCGTCGTTGGCACTCTGAAGGTGAGCAAAGCTAAAGTTCCTACGTAGAAGATCACACCTACCTCCCCCTCCCTACCCTACTTTAAAAAGAAAAATAATCTGAAAACGTGTTTTTGTTGCAGTCAAGGGCAGTCTTCTGAATTTCTTCAAAGGGAAGAACTGGAAGGTTCATCCAGATTGGTGAGTGTTCCGGATTAACGTATTTTCTGGACAAGATTCAGTCAGCGTGCTCGTTACTGTAATTAACAAGTTGATTTTCTTCTGCTTACCAAAGGGACTACTGCAAGTACCTGTACGATTCGGAACACAGCTTCGAGAGCCCGGAGGCGGAGCTGCTTCACTTCGCCAACAAGACTAACAATGTCGGCTGGAAGTGGCTCACCAAAAGCGACTTTCGCTCCCCAGAGCATACAGGTAAATAAATAGTAAAATTACTTAGTGTGTAAACATTATGCATTTGTAGTAACAAAGTTTACAACGAACTGCGGTAGAGACGCTGGTCCTAAAATTACTTTACAGCATCGTTTATAATAGTAACTCCATTGTATGCCTGTCATTTAACGTACCAGGCGGCTGATTCACGCCGCGCACTTCTGTAGGTATACTGTACCGCATGCACGAGTGCGGGTGAGCTTGCCTATCGCCCCTGTCCACGGCGCCTTACGAGCCGAGCGAGTAGGCAGCCCACCCGCACTTGTGCATGCGGTACAGCATAACCACAGAAGTGCGCGGCGTGAATCAGCCACCTGGTATAATGCATATAGCTGTTCCGCATTTATGTTTATTTGCGTTTCTACTGAGCCACTAAAGAAGACGACGGTATTAATTAAGCATAGCTTCCTCTGTTCCAGGGAACACCTCCAACACCCCATACAACAAGGACCATTATTTCTGTGAGTGCGATACGAGAACTACCATGCCCAACAATTTATTTATTCATTATTATAATTATTATAATTATTATTAATATTCATTACAGGTGATAGATCGCTTTTCCAGTCGGTCATCATGGACGCCAAGGCCACGCAATGGTTCAACAGTAACCTGTCCGCCCCGGTTGACAAGGGGTAAGTGGTCCCCTCTCTTGACACACGTGCTGTAGCTCAACTTTACACAGTTTTAATCTAATTCGTCGCACTTGCACTGCGTTTCGCGAAAATTCACGTCACTCGATATATCGAAAAGCTTTCGATTTCTCTAGCGCATGAGCACCAACTCCGGAGTTTTGTCTTTTCATCCCGTTCAAACGGGTTTTCGTTTTCATTTAATAAACATTATTTCATCACTTTTTATTCCGTCTTATATTTCTCTTTACGGTACTAACTCATGGTTTGATTTACTTTATGCACCAAAAAGAGCTTTAGCGCTGCTGCTCTTGTTACTTCCAAGGTAAAGTATTCGTGTGATGTTTGCCACCTCGTATGCATGCCACACGTGACCGTAGCACGAAGCTGCCCCGCGTGCGACTTGCCTACCTCCCGGGCGGCTAGGCGCGCACCACACCTCAGGGACCATACAGAAAGTACATCCGTCTTCGTCCGATTCATTCGCGGCAGATCATGTGAGAGCTCGGCGCCTGCGAGGCTCGGGGTAGGCCAGCCCGCAGTACACGCATGCACCGCATGTGAGATAGTGCCTATCTACCAGGCGCTAGAGAGCCAGCAGAGGCTGGACTTGGCATGTTGGTGACGGCGAATGACGGGCGTGCTTCCTGAATGATGCCCCATCGTCCGAGCACTACCCTAGATTAAACGCCCTATATGGTTCGAGGGGCATGAGAGTGTTTCGTTGGGCATACTTGATTCAGTGAAAATAAAATAAAATTGGGTTAGTAGAAAGTTGTGATAATTGTTGGCAGTCGTAACGCGTTGTTCATTTCCCTGTTGCGGTGATGGCAACGGAAAGCAGGCCTCCTTGTTTTCCATCTATAAATATCACATATACAGATTTTGAATAAATATTAGAGCTGTGCTTTACGTCTCGAGCGGGAGCTGCTTCCATTAATTTATTCAATTTGTTTTAGACGCTCTAAGCACGTTGCAAGTATTGTACGAAAAGAGTTTGTCATGTGTGTGTCTTCCCCTTGGTCTTCCCATTTTTCTCCCGACCATGCCGCAAGGATTTTCCCAAACAAACCAAATGTACTTATTTTTTGTTCACGTCTGCTGCAAGGATATTTATCGTTGTCTTTCGCTCTCTCTTTTATTCTCCCTGTTTTCAAGCTGCCTCTACAACTTCGTGGGAAATGTCGTGACTGCATTGCCATGTCAAGTGTGAAATTGACAACACTAGAGTGCAACACGTCACTCGTCGAGTTTTTTGTGTAGTTTTTCCACCTCCGAGTAAGAAATTGTGTCATTGGAATGGCATAAAAACTATTTACACGTCGAAAATTTATGGGCATGGCCAACGAGTCTCACATTTACGTAGGGCCCCGTGCGTTAACATTGTGCACGGGGTAGCTGAGCGAAGTGCATTAACTTTACAGAAGACATAAAAAATATAGAACAAAACTGTACCGAATGAGGGTCCGCCTAGTAGGTAGGCAACCGGTCGTCTGATCCTTGAACGTGAGAGATGGGGGGGCCTTCTAATTATTCCGTCTCTATGGTGAGATGTGTAAGGGATAAAGAATTTGTCTCAAGATCCCTGTATGTGCATTTAGGCAACCTACTGTGCA